AGATAGATAGATAGATTAGATAGATAGATAGATAGATAGATAGATAGATAGATAGACATAGACACATAGACACATAGACACATAGACACATAGACAGATACATAGATAGAGGCAGTTTCCTTCACCTAGAAAGCCCTGGGCCCTCGTACTATTGGGTATATAGGAAAAACTATTTATCCAGTGGGTAGGAGACATTGATTCTGCTTCTACCTTTGCTGACTGTCTCACCTTGGACAGGCTGCTCTGCCTTTCATTTAATGTGGTTGCCTTCGGTGCATTGCAGGGATGGAAATTTTTTTAAGAATAAGACTTTGATTAATTTCTAGAAAATCCAAAAAACAAGGAAGAGATGAAAGGGGATGGATGACAAGAGGATGAAAAATGATGACAGTGTAGGGTCTTGCTTGCCGTAATTAAAGGTAGGCTACATGGAAGGCGGAGTATAGTGGGAACGCCATTGGCCTTGAAGTCAAGAGACCTAGGTTTGAATCCTGGCCCCATCTCTTAGTCTGTGTATGACTCTGAGTGAGGCATTTCCCCCTCACTAGGTCTCATTTCCCCATATGGAAAATGAAGGAGATGGACTTAGATGATCTGTGAATTCCCTTCTAGCTTTAAACCCTATCTTTTTCAACAGTACTTTGTGGTTTTCAAAGGGCAGCCCTCACAACAACTCTGAGGGGATGAGTGGTACAGATATCTGTCTCCATTCTGTAGATTAGGAAACAGTCTGGGAGAATGAAGTGATTTTTCTAAAATAACACAGCCATTTAGTGGTGAGGCTGGGACTCAAATTTATGTATTCTAATCCTGAGACCAATGCTCAGCCTGGGATCTATGGTAATCCCAGTGCAGGAGGGATGAGGCCTCTGTCAGGGCTAGGGGGTGGGGTGGGGAGAGGAGGAATAACTTTTGGAGAAGCTGGAGGTTCAGAGAGAATTCTAAATGGAGGAGCTAGGCTAAAACACTGATTAAAAATCATTCAAAGTAAGGAGAGGGGTGAGGAGAGAGGAAGAGAGAGATCTGGGAGGTGGGGTTGAGTGGGAAAACATATAGGTGACATTCAGAGGTTGGACTCAGGCCACTGAGTAAAGGACTTAGGTCTCAACAAGTCAGAGAATTCTTGTGTTCAGATGCCGGGGCAGGATGTATTGTATTGGTAAGTCAGGTGACCTTTGGGACAGTAGTTTTGACCTGAGGGTGAAGAGGATGAATGTGAGGCTGAGCCAGGACAGGACCCTGCTTCTCCAGCAACTCAGAAAAATAGATCTGAGCCTAGACTTAGGAGGAGGGTCCGGGAGGGGAGTAGCCCAATAGAATGATGACCTCAGAGCTAGGGCTTCTGACATGGAAATTAGGGGACAGACAGCAGGAATCACTAGGGAAGGCGTGCTTTAAACCTAGGCCGAGTTAACTTCAGGACTGCACTTGTAACTTAGCTCAGTTATGCGGTGTCCCTTCCCCAAGCGCCCCTTAGAAAATCGGCCTGTGTATTTTAACTTCCTATGTGCAGGGCACCATGAAAAGTAGAACCTTGGAAGTACAGATTTCACAGAATCTCAGAGCTGGAAGGGACTTTAGGAAGCAGAAGATTTGAGGTCAGATGCCCTTTTATGACCAGTGAGGAAACTGAGGCCCAGAAAGAGGAAGTGATTTGCCAAAGTCACTCAGTTCTATAAGTAACAGTGCAAGATTTAAACCTAAGTCTTCTGATTCCAAGTCTAGTGGACAGGGTGGGGAAAGTCCCCCAGTCCCCAGGGAAGAAAAAATGGTAGAAAGCCATGATCCCAGGACCAGCCTGGCCATGGAGAAGAGTCCTCTTTCTATTTCGTCCTTCCAGGGTTCCAAGGGCAAGCTTGGGTTGGTTGTGTCTTCTTTCTAAAGGGCATTCCCAGGAATTGCCCTATTTTATCACTTATAGATAGGAAACTGTTGTGGAAATACAGTACATCAGATCAATCCCTTCAGTTTCAGCCTCAGACTCCCAGGAGAGGAGTGGTGGCTCTAAGTGTCCCCGCAGGGAAGAATGAGATTGTAGGAGGGCAGAGATGGCTCTAGTTTGAGGATGGAGAGAGAAAGAGGTGCCAGTGAAAGACTCAGCAAGAAGGGGAATAACCAAGAAGGGGCCATGGTAGAGAGACTGCCATGTGAACAACAAAGCAAGACCACAACCCCCTGGCTATTATGAATGGAGGATCCTGCTGGCCCAGTGGGAAAGGAAAATGAGGCCATAACGGGGGCATGAAGAATTCTAATTAGCCCTGGTCAGGCACTTTCCCTCTCTGAGACCAAGTTGCCACCTCTGTAAAATGAAAGAGTTATACATGATGGTCATTCAAGCTGCTTTTAGCTCTGGCATTCTATGTTCTCTATACTAAGTTCTTTTCCAGCTCCAACATTCTATGTTCTAAGGTCCCTTCCAGATCTAACCATCTATCTTCTATGTTCTAAGATCACCTTCAGCTCAAATGTTCTAAGTCCTGTTTTCTAAGGTTCCTTCCAGCTTCAACATACTAAAATTCTAACCCAGGCTCTATATTTCACTTTGGCCTATGAAAGCCAGCAAGCTTAAACTAATAGAAATCAGTGCCATCTCCACTTCTAGTTTAACCACTCCCTACCCTGTGAGTCCCCAACGATGCTCCTAAGCTCTGTCTCTAGAAGAACCCACACAGAACTAGCATGCTCAGAAGATCTAGGCTGCTTCCTGCCGCCTGCCACCTATTACTCTTCTCCCCCTGAGGGATCCTAGGTCCAGGAAGCTGGGGATTGAGGAATCAACTAGTCCCTATTCAAAATCACAAGGGGGATGTGAGTTAGAATCTCCATGACAACATTCTCCTCTCTCCTCCCTTCCCCATTCTAACTACCCTAGCATCTGGCTACCAGGACCTCACCTGCTATACTGACTACATCCAGAACCTGACATGCATCTTACAAGTGGATCCTGGCCATGCAGAGACCTCCCCTGACCTCACCATTGAGTGGTAAGTGCCAAGGATAGGAAAGGAGAGGGGGTGAGGGGTGAGAAAGACAGAGAC